GCATCAATATAATTGTGAAGCCTGTCTGGAACATCAGCATACAAATCCAATGTAGCCACATGGTCACCCTCCATACTAGAGGCAAACTGCACAAGTGAAGCCTTCAATAAGTTGTAGAAATCCAAAAGTGGTGGAAATATTTGTCAGACTCAATGTTGAATTCCAAATTCATTGTAGCAAAGTTAAAAGCGTGACTCTCAATAAAAAATCAATATCACAAATTCTGAATTATGATTGGAAAGCAGAGTTTATGTACAAGTATCCTGATGTTTGCATACAAGTCAATTGGATGGTGGGAGAGTGGAGAATTATGGGCAAATGTTCTGCAATGTGAAAAGGACATTCAGAAATTTTGAGTCACATGTTTTGTTGACAGCATGAGTGTAAACTCAACAAGGAAAGGCTTACAGTTTTCCAGGGGTAAGACTGTCTGATTTGAAGCTAACTTGTAATGGATATGTCTAATCATGCAATTTCTTTAAGCACTGAATCACTTTCAAGTTACACTATTCATTAACTCTGCTTGCCAAGAATATAGATACATAATACTTGCAGTACCAGATTTATATTTTGATACACAATAAAAAGTATATTTTAATATTTCATTGCATATCTAAAACTTGAAACTGGTAAACTTTGGGATGTTTATCATTTTCATGGTGGCACAAAATTTCAAACTCATATGTGGTTAATACCACACTTTTCAAAGCCAAATCACAGGATGAACACTGTCCCATACATGTGCCTATGGCAGAGCTCTAGAGGCCACAGAAGAGCTTATGGCGGTGAAATATTTAAAACATTTCTCCACTAATATTTCATGGCAAAAATATTTCTCTATTGAGTGACTTTACTTAAAATTGTAAATAACATTCAGGAAGTTGAATATTTATTTAATAAATCTTCCCAAAGTTCATGTAAATTTTTGGTACCTGTATTTCAAATTCAAGTTCAATATACAATGATCCACATTTGTTAACTATAAAACCCAGAATTCATATCACCTTTGGAATCCGAATAAAAAAAACATTGTATATATTTCACTCACATAGAAGTGGTAAGCAACTTTACTAGTCGAATAGGCAAAAGAAAAAGGAAGTTGTGCACTTAACTGTAATGTGTAAAAATATTTATCAACTTAAAACTGTGATACCTCAAAATTTAATGCAAGTCTTGCTCTATGTATCAATTATAAACACACACAATATTCTGCCTGACTGATGAATCATTAATCACTACTTGAAATTTGGTTTGTAAAAAGTTATTGCCTCTATCCTGCAGTACTCAACAAACACTATTAGTACCCAGGGAGCCAAGGGCCCATTCTGAGGTTTGGGTAGTGCCAGTCTGCTGTCCAAGGGTGGTTCCATTTTTCATTAGTATGACGTTAAGAAAATTTTTTAGGGTGGCCTAGGCAGGGTCATAACCATAGCAACTGTCGTCAAAAATTGATAATTTTTCCAAAATACATTTTCTGCTAAAACTCCATCCATATTTATCATAAAAGTATGAAAACATCCTCTAAAAGATGACACTATCAATATTTAAATTAGCTCATTTGCATATTTATGACATATCATTAATATGCAATTTTCACCAAAATTTTGTATCCTGGTCAAAATTGTTCACTACTATTTAATATTTTAAGACTTTTAAAGAGAAAATTCACACTTATTATACAGTATAAGAATTACTTATATCATTTTAAGTGTTGCTTTGTTGACAGCTTTTCAAAATACTGCTAAAACAGCATCATTTCCATGGTAAACCATCAAGTGAGAAGCTGGTCATAGTGTTGGTATATTCATAATATTTCAAATGTGTTTCTTATTGTTTTTGTGTATTATGTCAGCTAGAAAATTCCCTGGATAAACCCCAAGAATCATAACTCTTTCCACTGTCTTAATCATGCTTGTATCAGCATATTATAACCTCTGGTTGCCACATCTATCACATCAGATTATTTGTGGTCATATTGCATGCAGGAACAATAACTGTGAGGACGAATTCAGAATACTGAAAAGTCACTACAATAATTTTTAACACTTAAAATTAGATTAAAAATTCGTGAAATAACAGTATTTACTATGAAGTTCATGAGATATGTTGAAGTTACTGACTTCAAGATAATGACAAGACCCTAGTGATTATGATTTTTGGTAAGTAACACCTAATTGTTTTCATTTTTTAAATAATAATAAGCAAATAAATAAATAAGCAAACAAAGCATGTTTTAAACTTAAGTGCTTAACATTCAATAAACATGCAAGTTAAATATACATTATGAATCAATAGTGTTATCAGTACTGGATTGCTTCGTATTCAGGCCCTCAATGAAGGAGGAACAAAATTCTTGACCCATCACAGACGTGCAGCCCAGCACCTCTGACACAACAAGAAAAAAAAACAGTACAGCCCAGATTAAGCAAAGTGTACGATACGTCAGAAGCAGTTAGGAAAACTGTACAATGTTAAAGATAAGCACTATGTACACTCAAAACTGCAGCAAATGCCTGACAAGACAACACCTAGATACAGATAAACTATTTGAAAAAAAGACTCATTCCTTGCGGATCAAAAACTTGTATGGCATTCAAATTGTAGAAACAGTTATTTGTTGAAGAAAACTTATGAATGAATACAGAGAGAGAGAAACAAAATACACAAGCTTCACAAGAAGACACAACTGATGAGGATCCAACAAACATGTCGTCCCATGTTTTCAAAGTATGATAGCAAGAAATAGTATGTAATTTGCTGTTAGGTGTACGATGTTTGTGGGAAGTAGCTCTCATTGGTGGAGACAGGAAATATATAGCACTCTTTACAGAAAAAAGCCAAATAACTTGACAGTGAGAATTTGTTATAGCATATCAAAGCATTTGGAGATGAAACATTAGATACGGTTGCAAAGGATGTATGCTATCATAGGGTTTAAATGAACCAGAATATGGTCAAGCGTAATATGGCAATCTTATCTACTGAACCAAGTGACATTTATGATGTAGCCTTCAACACACTTGTCGAGGAAATAATAGAATAACTGCTCAGTAACTCATCTGTACTCCTGCTATATACAATCAGAGATTAATACCAAACACTGTTTTGAAACAATGGAGTATTCAATTGGGAATCTTACGAGTCGCATTGCTTAAATAAATGTTTAGTGAACCATTACTGGAGCTTGTTGTTTTTCTCTCACACAATCTATTCATCATACATTGTTTGTTCATCATCACTCACAATCAGTGAGATGTTGTCAAAAATGAAGTCCCTAAATCATGAAAGCAACTCATTTGTTAAGGGACATTGCAAAGTCTTGTAAATCATCATAGGAACAAACATTAGATGAGTTATTAAACGTATCTTCTGATGCAGCAAAGCATCTTGTCCTAGAAAAGATATATCAATTTGTGTAGCAACTTCTGTCTGACAAAAATAAGGATTTCAACACAGGTGTGTCAGTTGACATAAACGATAAAGCCCTGCACCTGTTGCAACAAATTCTGTACAGTGTATGTGGAATAAAACCCCACTTAGCTTTGGAATAGCAATGAACCTATACAATCAAACATGAATTGATAACAACAATGAATCACCTAGACTAGTGGATAAGCTATGACACACTTGATCGACTTCTGATGTCAATTTTTAATACTGACAAGATCAAGGAAACCAGTATCTATCTACCTCCAAATATGAGGCCTGGAATTTTCATGCTTTTCCCTATTGGTAACATTGACTAGCATGAAAGGACACAGAATGGGTCAACCTTTCATGTCACAAGTCCCATAATTATTATAACCAGCAGGATACAATGATGATGCAGACACCGAGCAGAATAAGATGGACACTCTAAATAACCGGCAATGTTCAGAATCTAGCCAACATCCCAACAGTAATGCAAATGGTACTAGGAAGTTGAAGAAAACCCTATCAAGGAAACAAACAGCTGATGAAGCCACAACAGAAAGTATTTCACAATGCAGACTGACTCCAGGTGACAGAAAACAATCAAGGTTACTTTCAGCTGGTACCAACCTTGATTCTCTGAGGACATCTGATCCACAAGTGAGTAAGCATTTGTTGGTTTTGTGGAGTTTAGCCAGAATTACACCTACAGGGCTGATAAATGATGAAATTGATGAGAAAATTCCAGGATACAGTGCATTCTGTGCACAGACTGCACAAGAACACAAAGCTAATGCAATCAGTTATCTACCTCTCATTACATCTTCACCAATCAACCATGGAGTTGTGAAAACTGCAGATCAAATTCCTCACATCAATATTATTACATTCTAGAGGATTTTTGCATTTTTCATTTGATATATTACTTGTGCACTTGCAATGAACATTAAAGGAGTCATTTAAAATATTAACAATTTTTGGGGAAAATGTATGTTTTGGGGTTGCCCTGGAAATGGTACTCTTACACGTTATTTTGGAAAGCTGTCAACAAATCAACACCCACAATGATATAAGTAATGCCTATACTGTATAATAATCCTAAAATATCAAATAGTAGTAAAAAAATTACAACAAGGATTTAAAATTGTTATGAAAATTTACATATAAATGGTATGTCATGAATATGCAAATGAGTTAATTTAAATATCAATAACATCTTCTTTTAGAGAATGTTTTCTATTTTCATTTGATATATTACTCTTACATTTATGATAAATATGAACAGAGTTATAGCACAAAATGTTTTTTTAAATGATTTATTTTTAACTCTGATAACCATGGAAACACTCTTGTCCAGGCCTCCCTGTGTAAACCTCCAAGGGGTGGCCACCCTAAAAAATTTTCTTAAGGTCCATACTAATGAAAAAATTACACCATCCTTTGACAGCAGACTGGCACTGCCAAACGTCCTTCGGCTCCCTGGGTATATGTATAAACACGTAATTTCAAAAACACACCATCTTTTCTTGTTTTACTTAATGAAACATATTTCAAAGTAGTTCTCTACAAAATATTAAGTCTCTACTCACATGTCTTCAACACTGATATCTTTCAAGATTTGACAGTAATCCACATTCCACACAGCCTGATCATCCCATACTTTGGAAGATAGAAGAATAGCACCCAACACTATCCTTCGCCATGTACTAGGCACAATATCTATCTCAGCATATGTTAGAAGTCTTTCTAAGTATACCTGAAATTGATTTTGATTTACAGATGAACTTTACGAGAAGAATTTTGTAATATAAACACGTAGTCAGCACTATCTTTCACCATTGTTTAAGTTGATCAAAAATATTTTTATGAATTGATTTTGTTATTTAAAAAATAATTAAAGAACCAGGTAAGTTTGTAATTATCAATGTTATTTTCTACTCTGGTTCACAAAAATAGGTACTGTAATTCTGCATTTCAAAATCACTAAAAACCATCTCCAATGTTTCAAAGGATAATGATATTCTTCATCAATTGAATTGGAAAGATAAATAAAAAAATGTCATTAAAATTAAATAAAAGGATCACACTTGTAAATTACAAACCAACAGAGCTGGAAAAAACAACAACAAAAGAATACCACCATACATCATAACAATAAGTTGCCACACAAACTAAATCAGTTATGTGAAAATACTAGGAATGTGATAACGATCACTATCATGATTGATTTGAATTTCAGTGTTACAAATATACCATAACTTATGAAAATTAGGTGCAATTTGATTGTGACTCACAAAAAATTACCTTACATCCCTTCAATTTTATAGTATGATCAGAAATAAAGTAGTATTCCAGAAGAGTGATGTGGCCTCTTATATTCTGAAAGTCTAACCTCCAGTTAGCATTGTACTTGGCCAATATAGCTGGACAGACTAAACACAGAATCTGATATGTGACTTCAGCCTGTAATAAATTATCCAGAGTATCTTGGGGATGGGATAACATGTCTTAAGATTCATATTGATATAAAATAAAATAGATAAGCCATACAATCACTTGCAAGCTAAACACTGCTAAAATTCAGGATGAAGAGAAAATAAATTTATTTGGTTTCAATTTGTTAATTCGCATCATTAAATTATGAGGCTACAACAGAATGTGAAAAGTAACATACTGTTGTGAACTATTTTCTTGATGATGATGAGTTAGTTAAATCAAACATAGAAAATAAACTTTCTCTTAACCTAGAATTTTAACCCACATTTAACTTTCAATTCTTATAATGAGTTGTTTCAAAGCTCTTAATTTTTCCAAAACCTCAAATATAAAGAATAACCATAGATTTATATGACTCACCACCAATCTCATTTTTTTCAACAACCTTTATGAGCTAGAAGTGTAGATACTTTTTATCTAGGCATTAACAACTATGTGGGTGTCCCTGTTGATTAATAGTCAATTACTGATATTCTTCTCTTATTTGTAACCTTCCTTTACAAAATAAACTAACTCAACTTAGCAACATGTATACTACTACTAATTTGTGTATTTCACATTGATAAGAATCAAAGTTTAAAGACACGTGCTTATAATAAAACTTCAGTAAAGAAATTTTTATTACCTGTATGACTAATCAAAACATTAAAAAAGGTACCTCTTTCAGCAGCAACGTGAATATTCTTCTTTTAACTTACATTAACTTGAGTTCTTCTTAAATGCCTTGAAATTACTAAGTTTAATAGTATACATGTAAAACGAAATGCTACATTAAATTTAACTTATGAATGCTGCCAAAAATAAAACAGTCAAGTGTTAAAGAAAATTAGTGATGGTCTAATGATTTTTGTTCAAAATATACACCTGGAAAAAAGTTAAGCACCCCCGTGTTTTTTTCAAGTGATTCAAATTCGACGTTCTTGTGACTGATTATAAATTACCATTCAATCTAAACGTGTTTATCAAATGAAATTATGCATTATTGGGCACAAGAAAACAAGATTATCACCATAAAATAACAATTTTTAATTTACTTATCATGATATCAAAATATGGCCAGTTTTCACGCTTAAAATTATCTTTAATAAGTATTGTCAG